CCCAAATAGTGTTTCCTATATAACATCTAAGTATTCTTAGGAAAATAAATTTATTTATAAATTGAATACTAAAAAATAAATAAGTTTCTTATTTCTCCTTTTATACAAAACACACTCAATCACCCACAATCTAAACTTTCTATTTGTAATGAAAAGCCCAAAGGTAATTCCGAGGAATTTCTATGGGCTATGGCTCTTAAGCCCAAATCAACCAGAAATGTGTAAAATTAAGTGGGATGGCCAGTTTTTGGGTCTGCTTTAAGTTTTTAGCCACGTTTTTCATGCATAAATAAACTATTCGCCTACTTAAAACTCGGAAGAATTTTTAAAGATTTGAACTACATGAATCGTTCCTTGTTTTTGAACTGATAAAGATATCAAAACCTAGAAATGATTAATTGGATATGAAACTCCAACAAATTCTTGAATCACATGAGTTGTTTTCTGAATTTTACTTATCAATTATTCGAATACCAGAGGTGAAACTTTAGAAAGGTCAAAACAAAGGAACATTCATGAAATTTGAAACTTTTGGCAATTTTTGAACCCTATGAACTTTACTTGAATGAAGGTCAATTGTTTTTCTTACTAAAGTAGTAGATTATTGGCCTATAATCTATCTCTAAATTATGTATATAGTCCACTCCGACCCATTCCAGTGCTCACAACCCAGAACCCAATTAAAAGACCCATGGATATTGATCGCCATAATAGCTCTTTCTTCTTCCCTCTTTTTTTTATTTAACAATTTCAACACTAACCTGCCTTATTCACCATTCTACCAAACTAGACCAAAACAGCAGCAAAACAACATCTAAACTCTACCAGCAAAGCTACACCAAACTCTACGAAAATTGCACCTAACTATAACAAAACAGAGGCAAAACGACACTTAGATTCTACCAAAAACTAAACCAAAGAAGAAAAAAAAAAAAAGGCTGTGGCACAAAGGCAACAAAAGTGCACCATAACGAGATAAAAAAAATTGAACCAAAATTCGATACTAAACTGCACCAAACGCGGGCCAAAAATGAAAACAAATTTGGTTCAAATTTACTTCATTAACGATGGAAATACATTATAATGAAACTTGCGAATCATACCAATTCCTAAAACATAAGAACATTAACCAAACTTAATACAATTTCACTCTAAGCTTGAAACTTTCCCCTCTAAGATAGATGCATAATTCAAATCTGTCAATTTAGCCATATCATTCACCGTCTAATTCTTTAACATGTTCCATTCTTGACAAGGGCATCCAACGACTTTTTTTTACTTTGTATAAACATTGTCACATGAAGTGAAAAGTTTTTTTATTATCTTGCCATTCCAATAACAACCATTCGTCTCATAGCGACAACATTTATAGAACCTACGACCACAATGTCGCAGTCGTAAAAAATTGGCAACCATTCTTCAATGACATACGGGGGCTCTCCTTAATCACGACAAGAAGCAGAAGAATATTCAAACATTTGAAGGAAACTAATTTGATTTGAAATTAGTATTGAAATTGTTAAATAAAAAAAGAGGGAAGAAGAAAGAGCTATTATGGCGATCAATATCCATGGGTCTTTTAATTGGGTTCTGGGTTGTGAGCACTGGAATGGGTCAGAATGGGTAAAGAGAAATTAAATGATATGGGGTTTAATTTATCCAATAATAAAATGCCACATAATAAATATATATTTTTAAAATGGGGTGTTAGTTTTAAGGGTAGAAATGGGCCAAAAAGGTGGACTGAAGGGTATTTTTAGCCTAATAGGTGGATGAAGGGTATATTTAAACCTTTTCAAATAGTTTAAGGATATTTTTGGCCCTTTTCCGTTTATAAAATAAAATAAAAAGACAAACAAGAGGGATAGAGTTCTTATAAGAGGTTTTAAATCTTTTATACTACTTTAAAGCTTTTTACTATATTTGACTATTTAACCTTCAAAAGAACATTAATAATAGATTTCAATTTAGATACACAAACATGTGATTCCTCTTATTTGTAGCAACACCAAATATAATTATGTCATAATCTTAGAGATTTAAAAGGTTATTACAATTTTTTTTAATGTGGTATAGATGAATTTATTGATTTGATAATGTAATACATTTTATGACTAGATTATCTTTTAGCTTAAAGTCTATTAAATTCTAACCATTTTGAAAATCTCATAAAGATTACGATATGTTTTTTTATTAACAAGTTTTATATTAGATTGTTTAGAAGATATGCAACTTCAACAACAAAAGAGGGCTAAAGCTTGGATCAAGGTCAGATATGAAGGGGACATATTTTAGATCTTCCCATTTCTAAGAAGATTTCAGGCTGGATTTGATTTAGTATCAAGATGATTATATATATATATATATATATGTATTCGACGATATCATTAAGATCAATTAATGAGACTTGGACGGAAAGTGTTCACTGTTCTTGCCTCCATCATTAGATTGGATAATTTTCATTTTTGGTATTTTAGTCACACATTTCAATGACCCCCTTAATTATGTAATTGTCCTATTGTGTAATGAGAAGGGTGCTAGTAGTCCCCGAAAATGTCCTTTCCATAAGTTCATTTATCGATC